ACATACTTTTGCTCTCTCAGTGCACCCCTTCCTAAATTTTACCCTCACAATCACTGTGAGGTATGATACCGGTTTTCATTGCTTTAAAAAGTTTGCAACCTTAGCAGCCTTGTAGTCAAAAAAACTTTTTCTCAAAAGCACAAGAAACTGGTTATTTTAGCAAAGTTAATACTCAAGGATTTATTCAAACAAGATGGAAATTCCTACTGATACTGGTTTTGGTTGCTCTGCTCCTAAAAAAATGTTTTTTTTTGTTTTAAAAGAGGTTGATATTGTTAAAAAGAAAATTGTTAAAGAGGGTCATTTCAAAGCCCCCCTTTTTCTAAATTTAGGTGACTCCATTGGGCTTACTTTACAAAAAAAAGAAACCTGAAACTGATCGATTGATCATCTGTCCTTTCCTTTTAGTGTGTTGCTAAATGACAAGTTTTTTTTCTGTGTCTTATCTGTCATTTGATGAAGCATTGTCTTGGATTAGATTTTATGGTAAGGGGGAATTGATGGCTTAGTTGTTTGTTGAGTTAGATTTTCATTTATTTCCCATTCATCCTTGCAGTTTGTAAATAAAAATCTGGTTTAGCATATACACTGATCAGCCACGACATTAGAACCACTGACAAGTGAAGTGTATAATATTGATGATATAATTACAATGGCACCTGACAAGAGATAGGATAAGTACATGTGTTGGAAGCAGGAAATGCGGGCAAGTGAAAAGAACTGACAAGGGCCAAAGAGTGATGGCTAGATGACTGGATCAGAGCATCTCCAAAATGACAAGTCTTGTGGTGTGTTTCAGGTATGCAGTGGTTAGTACCTACCAAAAGTGGTGCATAGAAGGACAACTGGTCAATAGGCATCCGAGTCTTTGGCACACAAGGCTCATTGTTGCATGTGGGGAGTGAAGGCTAGCCCATCTGATCTGATCACACAAAAAAGCTACTATAACTCAAATTAATGTAAAACAATAATGGCCATGACAGAAACATGTCACACAGTGCATCACAGTTTGCTGCGTATGAGGCTGTCAAACCGAAGACTGGTCAGAGTGCGCATTATGACCCCCAGAAGCACCTTCTGTGGCACATGAGCATCAGAACTGGACCATGGAACAATGGAAGAAGATTGCCTGGTCTGATCAATCACATTTTCTTTTAGATCAGGTGGATAGCCAAGTGTGTGTGCATTGGGGAAGAGATGGTAGCAGGATCCACTATGAGAAGAAGGCAGGCCAACTGAGGCAATGCTCTGCTGGGAAATCTTGGGTCCTGACATTCACTTGGATGTTACTTTGACATGTACCACCTACCTGGAGATTTTTGCAGATCACATACATCCTCATGGCAATGGTGTCCCCTTTCAACAGAATAACGCACCCTGCCACACTAAAAACATTGTTCATGAATGGTTTAAGCCCTTAAGGACACATGACACGTGTCATGATTCCCTTTTATTCCAGAAGTTTGGTCCTTAAGGGGTTAAGGAACATGACAAAGAGTTCAAGGTGTTGCCTTGGCCTCCAAATTCCCCCGATCTAAAGCAGAATGAGCATCTGTAGGATGCACTGGAACAACAAAACTGATATGGTATCTATTAGTGCCAGATACCACAGGACATGTTCAGAGGTATTTTGGAGTACCTTAATGCATCAGAGCTGCTTTGGCAGCATTATATTAGGCTGGTGGTTTTAATGTTGTGGATGATCAGTGCATAATGCATTATTTAGATGATTTTTTATTTGTTGTTCAACACATGGTAACGAATGCTATTGTTTGTTGTGTACTTCTTGTGAATTTGAGTCAGACGCCGGGTTTTCTTTAGCTAAGAAAAAGACAGTGGAGCCCACATGTTGTCTGCAATCTTTGGGTCTTATGATTGATTCTCACTCTATGAAATGTCATCTTCCTTAAGAGAAAATTTTGAGGTTGCAGCTTGAAATTGAGCACATGCAGTTTTTTAACAAGGCCACAGTTGGGATTTTTAGTCTTTTTGGGGGATTTTCAGCCTTTACAGGAAGAATTATGCCTATGGGATGAATATTTTGCAGACAGATGTCATTGACTGTTTTCAATACAAGGTTCCTTCTAACTATATTAAGGTTACTATTTCAATTAAGAAGAACTTGATGGTTTGGAAACAATTCTTGAAGAAATATAAAGGCAAGTCTATTTTACAGGAGGAATTTTTGGTTAATCAGCAAATATTTGTTGATGCTTCTTGTTCTGTTGAATTAGGGTTTTTTTGGAATTGGAAATGGGGTGCTGTATCTTGGCCTTAGGTTTGGTTTTCATGTGATCTTACCAATAATTTTACTTTGTTAGAATTGTTTCCTATGGTTGTGGCTATTTGTATTTGGGGAGGGGAGCATTTAGCAAATAGAAAGATATTACTCCACTGTGATAATTTATCACTTGTGATCAAGGTGATTTATTCCATGCATGCTACATTGGAATTGGTTGTTAATTTACTGTGGAATTTAGTTTTGTTATGTATGCATTGAATATATTGATTACAGCTCTACATGTTCCTGGATATAAAACAAGAATAAAATACACTCACAAGATTAAGTGACAAAACTGGTTTCCCGCAAGGAAGGTGGTCTAAGTCCGCTTAAGAATCCATTCAATACTCCCAACTGCCGGCTGGGGAGAAGGTCGGGTTCTCGAGATGTGCAGCCACTGTCTGTTGCTGGCGTTCATTCCACTGCCGACTTGATTTGCGTTTCACTTCGCTTCCTGTCTGAGTGAGCTGATGCTGCCTTATGCGTTTCGTGAAACAACCATTCACTTCATCAGAGGTAAGCATCAAAGTGAATTGTACGGTTATTTAGCTGCTGGGCAGTTCTTCTATTAAACTTTCAAACGTTGCATTGCTGGCAATACTTTCAGTCTACTAAACCTTGACTGGCAGTCCATACATACATAGAAAACAACGCACCATTAATTTATAAACAAACATTAATTTACTGCATAACAATGAAGATATGTCATCATCAATTTAAGCATCTATTTGTAATAAAAAATACTATTATGGTATATACCTTCAAAATTGCATAAACAATAAAAAATGTATGCATAAATAAAATAAAAGTAAATTAAATGCATAAATAAAATTATTACAAGATAATACTAAAATTTATGCATAAATACAATTAAATTAAATTATATGCATGGAGAAAAGTCACGATCTCCCTACAAATATGTACCAGAGATCAACACATGGGAGACCGGACCCACCTCATAACCACATTGATAGGAGAGATTCACTGCTCCCCTATCAAGCTGCACGTTCCATAGGGATGTTGAATTACAGAAGGACTACATATAGAGAACCAAGGAATGTCCAATCTAAACCTTCTCTAGTGAAAATCAAGGAAAATTAAGACAGAACATGTCCACTGAATGTTTCTCCCTCTGCTCCTTTTTTATAGGGTTTTTTTAGAAAGGAGAGAGGAAATGAGGAATGCACTCAAAAAGACATGGAGAGAGAGGAGGGGCCAATCGAGAACTCCACTGTTAAGGAAGAGACCAAGAAAAGAACCAGAAGAAAACCAAGGAAGACACAAAAGAATCCAGATAGAGGAAGTACAGAAGTAAGCATATTCAACTTATTGGACTGATCTCTCAGCAGTCAAGACATCTCTCTCCTAACAAAAGAAAAAGATCTATGATCTCTGGGGTAAAGAACATGATGAAAGACAATCTTACGAGACAAGAAAGACAAGCCCTTAAGTTACTAATGAATGATTCAACTATAACTATTAGAGTCGCCGGCAAAGGAGGGGGTCTGGTGATAATGATCACTTCAGATTATGAATGGGAAAGTGTAAGACTACTCAGTGACACCAATACCTACCTCAAGATGGACAACAACCCGAGTATTTCATTTATGGATGAATTTCTTGAATTACTAAATGAAGGTAAAGAAAGGAGAATTCTCAGCAAATGAGAATATGATTACATATATTGCAAATATCCGAAAATAGCTGTCTTTTATCACCTACCCAAAACCCACAAAAGTGTGACTAACGCCCCTGGGAGACCGATTATCTCGGGAATTGGTTAATTGACATCCAATTTGTAGACCATTTTTTGCAACCAGTGGTTGCAAAACTTAAGTTTTAAGTGAGAGATACAACTCATATCATTAGCATCTTATCCACCACCACCTGGGAACAGGAGTATTTCCTAGTCACGGCAGATGTCACATCACTGTATACAGTGATTGAACATTTGCAAGGTTGCGAATCAATACAACATACACTTGCAACCTGTTCAGAACTAAAGTATGACCAGATCAATTAATTAGTTCAATGCATCACTTTCATCCTCAGCCATACATTTTTTGGGGCCCTTGGTAAATTTTAATTCAAGATCGATGTCACTGAAGTCATGATCTCCCTACAAATATGTACCAGAGATCAACACATGGGAGACCAGACCCACCTCATAACCACATTGATAGGAGAGATTCACTGCCCCCCTATCAAGCTGCACGTCCCATAGGGATGTTGAATTACAGAAGGACTACATATAGAGAACCAAGGAATGTCCAATCTAAACCTTCTCTAGTGAAAATCAAGGAAAATGAAGACAGAACATGTCCACTGAATGTTTCTCCCTCTTCTCCTTTTTATAGAGTTTTTTAGAAAGGAGAGAAGAAATGAGGAATGCACTCAAAAAGATTTTTTGGGGCCCTTGGTAATTTTTAATTCCAGATAGATGGCACTGCCATGGGAACCAGGTTTGCGCCAAGCTATACCAATCTATTTATGGGGAAATGGAAGGAAGAATATATCTGGAACCACTCCCCCTTTGGAAAAAACCTGGTCCTATGGCAGAGATATAGTGATGATTTCATTGTTATCTGGAAGAGTGACTTGGCTTCCCTAGAAGATTTAAAAAAATATTGAAATTTTAATCCTTATAACCTTAGGTTTACTTTTAACTATTCGAAAGAAGTATTCGAACTCTTAGATTTGGAAATTTACATTAAAGAAAGGAAAATCAATTCTAGAACTTGTGGATTGCAATCATAAGAAGACCTGGCTGGATAATATTCCCTATAGACAATTTAGGAGGATCAGGCAAAGTCGTTCAGAAATTGAAACTTGTAGAACTCAAAGACAATTCTTGGCGAAAGGATATGCAAAGGATCTGATGGAGGTTGCCAAAAGGAGCACTGGAATTACCCAGGGAAGATACCTTAATTAACAAAATGAAACCCACACAACAAGAAAGGGAAACCCTATCATTTATCACTCAGTACAGTAATCAATCTCACCGAATTAAGCACATTCTCAATAAACATTAGAAGATTCTTCAAAATGATCCAGTATTGGAACCTGTTATAGGGATCAAACCTCAAGTAATATATTCCCGGGCACCTAATCTTAAATCGCTATTAGCTCCAACAATTAAAGGAACACTACAGTCACCAAAACAACTTTAGCTTAATGAAGCAGTTTTGGTGTATAGATCAAGCCCCTGCAGTCTCACTGCTCAATTCTCTGCCAGGAGTTAGGAGTTAAATCACTTTGTTTATGAACCCTAGTCACACCTTCCTGCATGTGACTTGCACAGCCTCCCTAAACACTTCCTTTAAAGAGTCATCTAGAGTGTATCCTTTCTTTATTGCAAGTTCTGTTTAATTTAGTTTTTCTTATCCCCTGCTATGTTAATAGCTTGCTAGACCCTGCAAGAGCCTCCTGTATGTGATTAAAGTTCAATTTACAGAGAATGAGATACAGTTGTTTAAGGTAAATTACATGTGATTGAAAGTGAAACCAGTTGTTTTTTTTTTCATGCAGGCTGTGTCAATCAGAGCCAGGGGAGGTGTGACAAGGGCTGCATAAATGAAAACAAAGTGATTTAACTCCTAAATGGCAGTGAATTGAGCAGTGAAACCTGAGAGGCATGATATTCACACAAAAACTGCTTCATTAAGCTAAAGTTGTTTAGGTGACTATAATGTTCCTTTAAAAAAAAGACAAGAAAAAACAAGGAGGCTCTGAGAATTCTGGCTTTATCAGATGTGGAAAATGTATGGGTTGCAAGAATAATTCACAACATGAAAGACTGATTAAAGAGTTTGAACACATGAATAAGGAAGATAAGTTTACAATTAGAAACCATCTAAGATGTACTTAAACAGGCGTGATCTATCTATTAATGTGTCCCTGCAATAAACAGTATGTAGGCAGATCGAGGAGGATCTTTAAGACCCGTCTGGGAGAACACTTAAGGAATATCAAGAATGGCCTGCCTACACATAACCTCTCCAGACACTTTAGCACATACCACTCTAAGAATCCAGAAGGTCTTCGATTCATGGCAATTGAGGTCATTAAACCACACTGAAGGGGGAGGAGATCTAGAAAAAGTATTGGATAGAGCAGAGGCCAAATCGATTTTTATCCTAGATACTTTAGAAACATAAGGTCTTTACATAGACTTTGAATTAAATGCATTTTTATAAATTATTTTATCCTGGAAAACTTTTCCTTTTTTCCATCGACTTTTCCTTTTTCTACATATGTTTTTTACAAATATCTTTTTCATATGTTTATTAAGAATTCTAGATTTTTGTAATTCGTAATTTTGAATTTATGAATTTATAAGATTTATCACTTCATTACCTATATAACATTATACATTTTGTATTAACTGACAATATTTGGTTATATTCTTATGGTAATAAGATTTATGATATTTTAGTATTTTTTCAGAAGAATTTTACCCTATTATTTATCATTGCTCACACTCAGGGTAGAACTGGAAAAAATAAAAGAAAATGGAAATGAGGAATAATATCAAAAGAATAATACAAAGTAAATATTTGAAGTACAAAAACGTATACCCGGACCTGAAAGTCAATACATAGTTACATAGTTACATAGCTGAAAAGAGACTTGCGTCCATCAAGTTCAGCCTTCCTCACATTTGTTTTTTGCTGTTGATCCAAAAGAAGGCAAAAAACCCAGTTTGAAGCACTTCCAATTTTGCAAGAAGCTAGGAAAAAAATTCCTTCATGACCCCAGAATGGCAGTCAGATTTATTCTTGGATCAAGCAGTTATTACCCTACATTGAAAGATTATATCCTTGAATATTCTGTTTTTGCAAGTATGCATCTAGTAGCTGTTTGAAAACTTTTGACTTTTACATCACATTTTACAGGGTCCATAGTCAGTGGGCAGGAGGCTGGCATGCAGGCTCCTCCAGAAACGTGTGGCAAACTCACTTGGAAAGGGGAGTTTGTCACACCACTTTTGGCACTTAATCCTGTGAGTGTATTTTATTCTTGTTTTATATCAATAAAATTGTTTGCAGAGAGCACTACTTTTCTGTCATCTGTATTCCAGATCCACCGGATCATCGCACCACAGACATTTTAACGAACATCTATAAGATCCTACATTTGTATATATACTGTATCCACTCAAGATTTAGTAATATACTATGCTATTTCAGCCACTTGAAATCTCCTGACTTTTTCATAGCAGGAGTATTGCAAGTTGTACCATTGCAAGCTGAAATATTTTTGAAATTTTTTAATTAGTGGACTAAAGTTTTAGAGACTCATCTCTATAAATGTTATAGTATTTAAATTGCATTTCAATCAGCATTTATTAGTACATTGAACATACCTATTTTGTGTTTTTTGATTGAACATTTATCCTTTTTCACTTTTTAGTTGATACACCTTTTATATGCAAATCGACACCTGGTGGAAAGTTTGAGTACTCACTCTCTCCTTTCACTATTTTTATATTAGCTGGAACTTGCCTGTCTTGGAGGGAAAGTAAAGAGGGGGCAGCATTCAGAGCATAATCACAGCGGCTGTCCTTCCTCCCAAAGTGTATTTATTTATTTATTAATATGTTTGTTTGTTTGTTTATTTATTGATTTATGATTGTTTTAATGTCTGTTGTACTTATTTATTTGATTGCTAATTTCTACTTATGTATTCAAGTTTGATATTGTAAGATCTTATTGAGGGGTAAGGTTATTCTCTTTCAATGGAGAATACACTTTAATGATGTGTTTAATTTAAAGGTGAACTATAAAGGCAGCAAAACTTTACAATAGTAACCTGTTTTTAAAAATGGTATTTCACTTACTGCACTTTAGATGTAATTTATGTCATTATTACCCACACTATTTAGATAGCAGAAATTTTAAATATTTTCCCAGTTTGAAGGGTTTTAGAAGTTATAAACTGTATTAACTAATTTTATCCACCCCCTCACAACAAAGGGTATTTAAATACCAAGAAGCCTGCTAATGACTTCATTCCATTGAGAAAACCTTGAATGGTGAAATGCGTTTGGGTCCAAATCCCTCAATGTCCCTCATTTCTACTGAAAGAAGAAAAGAATGACTGTATTTCCCTAAACAAGGAATGTTGTCCCTCAATAATGAATTGCAAGTAAATTTCAACCAAATTTGGGAAAAGAATGACATGCTTCATTGAAAAGGGGATTACTCCAGTTACCCACAGACTGACGAGAGGCCAGACAGACATGGATTAAAATTCCTTTAGACATTGATATGCCTGTAGCACTCTTACTAAGGATGAGAGTCAAAACTTGCTTTTTAATTTATTTTATATATATCAATAGATGTTACATATTTTATACATTATCACTCCATGATTCTTCTTCTGTTCCCCCCTATGCTCCCTGTTATTTTTTACATGCACAGGAATTACTTAAGAATAACCTTTGAAAAACGTGCTCTATAATAAAGAGTACTTTGCTCTTGCCTTTATTCTATTCTATTTTTTAGACATACCTAGACCTTTAACTAGGAAGCGCAGTCTCACTTTTTTGTATTAGTTTGAAGGCGGTTTTTCCATATTGGAGTATTGCTGCCCCTAGTGGTTAACTATAATAGCACATTTCTATTTATTCTGCTTACCCAGAGGTTGGAGCTTTTTATCCATTGTAAGAAAATGCTATTAAGCTGTGTGTAACTTTTGTTTGTAATTTGTTTTATTTAAATAAACATAAACTTGTTTTATCTGGCATGCAAGATTTACATTTTGTGTACTTGTATGCATTAAAAGTATGCACAAAACATAATTATTATTAATAATGTTATTTATAAAGCTCCAACTTATTCCGTTCTGCTGCACAATAGATCTACTAACAGACACGTAATTGTAACCAGACAAGTTGGACACACAGGAACAGTGGGGGTTGAGGCCCCTGCTCAATGAGCTTACATGCTATAAGGAGCGGGGTATAGTAACATAAAAAGAAAGGGTATTATAAAAGTAGATTGATAGGATAGTATTCACTGAAGACTTAGTTTTTTTTTAATCTTTTTATAACAGTTCCAGGAGAGGAATCAGGGTGTGGAGAGGTAAAGCTATTAACAATTTAATTGATATCCTTTCCTGAAGAAGTCAGTTTTCAATTATTTTTTTAAGGAATGGAGACTGGCCAAAAATCTAATGGAGAAGCAAAAGGAGTTCCACAGGAACGGTGCAGCCCTACAGAAGTTTTGAAGGCAAACATCAAAAGTGGGTTTATGAACAGCAAATAGACATAGGGCTTCAGGACAGCACAGTGGCCTAGACATAACATACTTGTGTATTAGGGGGGATAGATAGGTGGGAGCAACATTATGCAGAGATTTGTAAGCAAGTACCAGAAATTTAAATTGAGCCCTATATCTTATGGAAAGTCAATGCAGGGACTGACAGAGGGGGAAGGCGCAGGATGTTATGGCATATAGAAAGATGAGTCTCGCTGATGCATTCATTAGAGACTGTAATAGGGCAAGTTCTCAATAAGACCATTGAGAAGCAGATTGCAGTAGTCAAGGATAGCGGCATGGGCCACTACCTTAGCCACGTCCAGCATTAAGCAGCTGAGGATGTGCGCTCTAAGATAGAAGAGGTAGGATTTCACAATCAACTGGATATGAGGGGTGAAGAAGAGGTCTGAGTCAAAGAGAAAACCTAGGCAGCGAACCTAGGTGGTAATGCCATTAACTTGGAGGAAGACAGTCAAGGGAGTCAATAATTGAGGGAGGAAAGAGCAGAATATCTGTTTTGGACAGGTTAAGTTTAAGAATGTGAGCTGCCATCCAGTTTGAAATAGCAGAGGGGCAGTCAGAGACACGAGTCAAGAGGGGTGGAAAGAGATCAGGAGAGGACAGATAGCTTTATGTGTCATCCTTATAGAAATGTTATTGGAAACCAAAGGAGCTGAAGAG